AATAAAGGCATTTCACAGGCAGTTATAATCTGTGTGCTCGAGGGAACAGGAGGGGTGGGCAGGGGGAAAACACAGTCAGGATTTCTCCAGAGAGAGCTTCAGAACCCTGCTACTCCCATCTAATTTTCAGGGGGGACAGGCAGGGATGGGACAAGACTGTAGATCCAGCCAAAGAATCATGCTTCTATTGTGAATAGTTCTAGATTTAAAAAAGGTGCTTCTCCCAGGCTGACACAGATACCAGAAGGGATCAAAGTCATAGTGAAACATTCCAGGCCCGTCCGCTATTTCATAATGAAATGTCAGTCAGCTGCACATTGGAGCTTTTGTAGTAAAGATGAATCAACCTTGAATTAAAGTGTTCCATTAAAATAAGATGAGGTTTTGAGGTGAAGGGTGAGGGAATGGGGATAAAAAGCATTGTCAATTTTCTCTACGTTGCTTCCTGTCACTTCAGCTTCTGTCTTAAACAAAAGTAAGCATTAATCCAGAACGAAAAGGGGTTACGCTTGTCTTAAGCCACAACAGCGTTATGTGTCTGCCTTTCAGAACAGCCTGATGGAAGGCCTCACTAGCATAACCTGAGGAGTTTTCACGCCTCAAGGGCCTGATCCCAAACCCAAAAAAGGCAACAAACCCCACTCCCCTTGACTTCCTCAGGCTCTAGATCCAGTCCAAAATTAGCATATGTCATCAAAGACACCTCCATTTGGGACTACAATCTGTGTAACCTATTGGATCTGATATTTTATTAATACTCCTTAATAAAAAGCAATGATGACCAGGACACAAGCCAGCTCATCGTATTTCACACATTAAGTGGCAGCTCTGAGGCCCTTTGAGGACTTCTGTTTTCGAGCAGACGCTGAGCTATCCAACATATGTGACCGCAGCTTGTTTGTTAGAAACTAAAGCACAATCACAAACTACACATCTCCTGAAGAAGAGTCGGATATATTTGAAAAACAGCCTGGCCCTGCTATTTAAGGAAATTCTTTTCCTTTTTATATACAGTGTGTTTTTGTGAACTGGTTTAGTTTAAAAGAAAGAGGGTCCAGTTCAGTACTGCACAGACAAGAACATCTCTGAGTCTGGTGGAAGATTTCTTAAGCAACGAATACTGAACTGGGAGGGAGGGAGAGAGAGAGAAAGCAAAGGAAACAGACAAAAAACCAAAAAAAAAAAAAAAAAAAACCCCAAAAACAACAACCCCAAAGCAAAACGAGAGACAGAGACTAAAAGGAGAGGGAGAAAGAGAGTGACTGAGTGGGGAGAGAGAGAGAGAAGACTGGTGTGTTTTTCCTTGGGAATAATGGATTAACCAATATTGCACTAAAATTGAGCCAAGCCGCATGTAGACTCCATGGGCTTCTCTGTTCGGATTTTAACCTTTAGAAATATATTTTTTTCAAAACGAAGTTAACTAGGTCCCAGCGGTTTAGTGTGGCTGTGCTGTCAGGGTTCCCTCCTCCCCTTTCCCAAAGCTCGCCCCCACCCACTCTTAGGCTTGCTCCTTTTAAAGTGCCACATACAACATGAAAGGGCAGCACCAGTGAATTAAAGGTCACCTCTGTGCACTTCAGGAGGAACCAGTTCCTTTGTGAAGACCCCCATGGGATTACAGTTTTCACATTCAGCTCCTTTTTTTTTTTCTTCCCTTGCCAAAAGAATCAAGTCCCTGGCTCCAGGCTCCCGACCTTCCTCCCACCCTGAACTGAGCCCCATTCATTAAGCTGGCTCACTGCAGCACAGCCTAGGCCAGGAAGAAAAACAGAAAACAGAGCAAGTGAAAGAGAGGCTCAGATTGGTTATTTCAAGGGGGAAACACTTGTAGAAGCTCTTAGTATATTACCCTCATCGTTCCACACTGGTCACCCTCCCACATCCTCTCAGCTCTGCTATTCTGGTACCTCTGCCATTCATCCATGAAATTGCCCTCTGCCTCCTGAAGAACGAAATATATATTTCGTAGCTGAAACTGAGACTCCTTGACAGAAAGGATCCAGCTCTCTGCATTCTTCGGGAGGACTGGATGAGCATTTTTTAATGTACTGCTTCCGTTTTATTATCGTTCTTGCAACATCCCACTCTCTAAAGATGCCATGGCACTGCCCACTCCCCAGGAATGTTAACCGCAGTGTCCTGTCCCAATTCTCAAATTTCATCTGTGGTGACTGCATTTCTGCCTTCCTATATCCCACCTTTTTACCTTCAACTGGTTCAGTTTTCATTTCCCTGCCCTGCAACTGCTAGGTGTAGTGTGGCTGAGCACTGTTTAACAGCTGCCAATTTCCACCCCAGAGGTGGCTGCTCCTCAGGGGTGGCCAGAGAGACTCCTTATATTAGGGCCTTTGGGGCCCAAGCACAAACCTTATCCATTCAATCCCAATGCTGTGCAGTTGGACAGTCAGAACAATCTAATCAGATGTACAGCAATTTGGGGCTTTTTTAAATCCAGTGAAACATCCTTTTGGGATAAAGTCATAAAGCAACTCACCATATAACTCCCGAGTTCTAAAGAGTGAAAAGAAGATGAGAGGATATGCTTTATGTGTGGCATCTGTGATATCATTGTCTGTTTAAATGGAGATAAGATAGAGCTTTTCCCTTCAGACAGAAATAAAACACTCCAAGTGTACCTTGACAATAGCTCATTAAAGCCCTATTCAAATACACTGTTCTGCTACCAAAGTTTGTAGAAAAAGAAAAGAGAAAGTTAGCATTAGAGAACTGCTGCGAAGTGTGGTTTATTTTCCTTGCTTGACTGGGGTCTCTCCAGTTGGGAATTTTCAGAGCTGCACTTCTGTGTGTGGAACTGAGTTGCCAGTAAATCAGAGCAAATTCAAAACAAATGCTCTTTCATGTAGAGGCATTCGGCTTTGTTTCATGGCTTGTGTAGCTAACCGTATCCCTTCATGAGTCAACACTCCTATCGGCTCCTCATTAAACTAAATGGTTACAATTACACTGGTGGGGGAAAAAGAGTGGTTAATGATCGTAAATGTTTCCTCTGTTTCTGGAGGGTTTGGAAAACTTTTGATAACTCAAGACCAAAACCCCCCCGCCCCAAAAAACCGCCCCAAAAGGAACAGTGCCTTCTTCTGGAGGCTGGGAATGAGAATATATTAATAAACCTTTCCCATGTAGAGTACCTTTGCCAGTTCTTGCTGTGCTATGAAATTAAACTTCCATAGCAAACTCCTTAAGAAGGCATTCATAGGCAAGTTATGTTATTTCCTGCAGCCCAAACCCCCACCTCCCCCATCTCCTCAGGAGCAGACTAGACAGACGAGATGTTATCAATAACACAAACCTTTCAGAAAGCCCCCTTTTAAAAGCTAGTACTTCCTTTACTTATTTCATGTGGTATCCTGTGGAACTCAATCCCTCCCCACCCACCCCACATATTTCACGAGGGGAAAAATATGATCTAACATCCTTATTGTGTTGTTTTACTTCTTGTTTCTGTTCTCTTTCTAGTCTCTCCTCTCCAACCCCCCCACTTCTTCCCTAAAGTTACAGCCACCAATAGACACTGCCTCCCCCGCCCCCCCCCCAAAAAAGAGACCAGCCACAAGTTGCCCTTCTCCCCCTTCCTTTGATTAATTCTCATTAGGGCCTTTGAACAAACAATATGCTTCCCTCTCAAATAACAGGCAGGGTATATATTACACTGAAAGAAAAACAAACAAGGCTCACTTAAAGACATCCACACCAAATGCAATTCCTGGAGAGAAGACACACACACACACACAGCAGCAGCACCAACCAGCAACTTACATATTTCTAAAATTCCAGTCACAGCACAATGAACGGAGTAAATGCTCCACAAATGATAAATCACTGAGACTCACTGACAGAGGAAAGTATCTTCCAACCTACACTAGACAACGCAGGTACATATTTTCAGACAAATTATGGCTGGTGATCATACATACAAGAGTAACTGCATTTAGGACTCAGCCATTCCTCTTCAAAGGCAACGCTCTAGTGGGGAAAGGAAGAAGGTGAATAAGCTATTATTGAAAGGCCTGATTTGCAGCTTTTGTTGAAGTCCCCAGCTGTGGAGATACAGCATCTCTGAAAATCAGGCCAAAAAGGTTTGCTGGATACTGAGAGCAGGGCACTGGGAAATGTCCTTTCATGCACCTGTACAAAAGGTGCAGTCAAATGTTCTCCCCTCAACACAGCAATCCTTGTGCTGAGACAGATGCTGTATCCACCCCAACAGATCTCCCCAGATCATGCCATGTTACTAGCCAACCACTCTACTGTTTTCCCCAGATCTGAGAGCCATACTGTACATACCTGCCCCTTGTGCATGGGCTCCCATGTGCCCTCTCTATCACCCTGCCAGTCCCATGCAGAAGGAAACACCATATAGCCCCCGATATATAAAATGCATATATGGTTACCCTAATATTTCTCAGCTGATTGCTAACCTATTATAGACAGTTTGCAGGCAACCATTGACTAGTATCATACAAGAACACAATGGCTGGAATGGAAAACACCTACTTGATCAGTTGTCTTCATGTAAGGGTACTATATACTCCACTGATGCCATTATTGAATGTACTGTAGCCAGAAGGCTGTGCAGAAACTAGTTACACTAACCAAACAAAAACCCACAAAGATTCAAGACCACCAGTCAAATACTGCTCTCCTTATCTATACAATTAGCCCCACTGAACCCAAAGGTTCCACCTGTGTAAATAAGGCAAGGGCTGGGACTGACCTTGAATTTTTCTATAAGGATACAGCTGTAATTCACCTGCTCACTTCTCTATAAATAATCTACACCCTATAGTGAACCACCACCAAAAGTAAATTTTCCTCACAGGGTCCATCCATTCATCCCCAGGTGCCCAACTCCTGTTGAAAATGAGTCCCAGCATCATTCTTACTTCATTCACAGCCTAAAACCAACAGGAGTTTTAGGTGCACTAGGAGTAAAGAGTCCTGAGTGAGTAAAGCATACCACAGATAATGTGTCTTACCTGAAAGCCCCCCAGGGGCTAGACAATTAGTTCCCCCTGTTTCAGTGGAGGAAGGCACAGAGTCTGGACAATCTGCTGCAGCAGAGGAAAAAAATAAGAAATTAGTATATGTTAGTTTCTTAGCACGCTGTAAACAATGTCAAGAACAGAACACACATTCCAAAGTGTTCAACAGGAAGCTATTACTAATTGTCTGCACAGACACTGCCATTCATCATAATATATCCACCCTAAACTCATCATCCTTGTCTAAACTCTACACTACCACTTAATCATTACTCAATACATGCAAAAATTATATGAGGGCTGGAATCTTTTTGTCCAAGTCACAGGTTAATGAAATCAGGTCTGCCATCCTTTAAGTAACTAACAGAGTGCCGAAAGAGTTTGAACAGCTGCTTTGTACCTTGAATCTAGTACACAACTAGGTTGGCCAGGTGGAAATATTAAACTGAAAGAGAGAGAAAAAAATACACCACTTTTGTCACAAATAGTCCAATGTCAACTTTACTCCTTTGTTCCTGTCTTTTTTGCTAATTTCATTAAGAACTCGTATACAGTTTCCCTTCCACTGACTCTACATTACTTTGCTTCCCAGCGAGTTGTGTATGCACCAAAGAGGCCTGACTGGACCAAATTCTCTCCATGCACCACCGAAGGGGCTTTTATGATGAAAGGAATCTGTCTCATTAGCTATTCCTCTTGACATTTAGAAGTGTTCAGTTCAGGGAGGAGCAAAGTTTGGCCCCCTGAAGTCCAAAAACTACAACTGCCCCCTTTCTGTAATTGCAGCATGAGGTCAAGGTTGATCAACCTTTTTACTGCAGATGAACCCATACAAGCAATTTTTAATCATCTATCAGGGAAGATGCAAGCATAAGGAAATACTGTGGTTAAAGGCATTCGCAGTCAAGAGAAAAATTGAAATGTACATTCAACCCTCAGGCTCCTGGCAAGTTGCCACAGTTGGTTATGCAAAATTAGGGCACCCTAAATTACATCATTTCAGCTACAAACCATCTCTTAAAGCAAGGGCCACAGCACCAATAGGATAGAGTCTTTTGTCCCCCACACTTTTTTTCAAGCACTCACTACTGAAAACCTAAGGAAAAAAACATGCGTGTATAATCTCATTTTATCAGAGTAAAGTATAATCCATAACAGGAATATACCGTTTAACAGGATACAGTTAATCAAACTGAAAACAATAGGAGAGACAGGAAATGGACTTATTTGTGAAATACTGTATACGATACACTTTCTAAATATTTTGTAGTTTGTTTTCTATGTTCCAAGGAAATATGCTTTTTTAAAAACCTTGTCCACTTGTATATCTAAACAGATGACTCCCTTGTATCTTTCCCTTGAGATCACCCTCAAATGCTTTTGCTGATGCTTTCCCTCAATACACTCACAACCTTTCTGAATAAAGGTGTCAAAAATATGGTACTGGTTTGTACTACAGACTAGTGCTTCATATCCAGCTCTAATCTGCCTCTAGATGAACATGTTGCACTCCCACTTGGGAGTCAATGTGAGGCCTGTGCTATACATCAAAAAGCCATAATTTGCCCCTTACATGTCATCTTGCTCTAGTCAAATATAACCAGATTCTTCTGCTAGCAATGCAGACAGACATTTTAAAGTAACTTGGGGGATCTATTCCTCAAGACTGCAGGAGACAGTCATAGCAGTATGTCCACTTCTTCTAACTTAAAAAACACAATCCTAACCATAAAATTGCTGTGGAGATAAAGTAACCCTACAGTTTGAATTCAAACACAAAGAACAGCTCTCTGTTTCTTCATCAGGGCTGCACATTAGAAATAGGGCCTCATTCAGACCCTCCCTAAAGCCTGGACCTTTCCCTGAGCATAGCTCTGCCCACTGATGAAGTACCACAGTACAGTTTCATTTGGTCCTCTTCAGACTTCAATTGAACCCACTCCCTAATATCCAATAGCAAATTCCCTTTATCAATTCATTTAAACTGAGAACAGCGCTGGGTCATGGGCCTCACTTTAGAATAAGCCATTACTGGATCCACTGTTGATGTTCCCTCTTACACCCCAGCAGGCATAGGCTATGCAAAAGGCATGATGATCCTTTCCTGTTCCTTGTGTTAACCCTTGGCTAGTTGAGCCTTGCATGCTTAGCATCATCCAGGCCTCATCCAAGCACTCTAGCTGATACGGAGCACTGTCATTTTTTACTTATTTTTTTTGGTATCAGTGAAACACTCCAAGGTTGAGTGGTTCATCTGAAGTTCCTATATGTTAACCCTTTCACCCCAGATTTCTTTGTAAAGTAAGCTGTTTCCAAAGGACATGAAATCACGTTCTTCACATCAACAGGGTAATGACTAGGGGCCTGGCCCTGAGGGGTGCGCAGAGTCTCCTGCTACACCTTCAATTCTCATTAAAATCAACAACACTTGAAGACCACGAGCAATCCACAGGCCTTATGCTTAGCCTGAGTCGTTTTTTGCATTCTAATACGCAGGTGACAGACACAGGAGAGATCCTAACTCTCCCCTGCAAACAGAAGTCAGTGGTCGACCATCCCGTCTAGTGCCCACACTATATATATACTCTCTCATGCGTGTATGTGTGTGTGTGATGTGTAGAGTTTGAAACAGAGCTAAGTTACCCCGGAATTCGGTCATGCTCAGACCCTAGGGGAAGTGGGGGGAAAGGACCTCATATTACACTTGGGAGACCTCTGTGACTGCCTCCAGAGGGAACATGTCCAGCCAGCCTCACCCAGTAAAGACAGGTCAGCCTGATAAATAGCCTTTGTGGGGGTGAGAGGGAATTAAGAGAAAAGGGATAGGATCTTTAATACACACTGTTAAATCGCGGGCCCAGACACCTTCACAAACTTAAACACCAGAACTAGTATAAATTAGCTGTGAGACAGGAGAGCATTCTGAGTAGTGTCATGCATGCAAGGCCACCAATATCCCTCTGGCACAGGAAATCCTTTCCTCCAGCACAGGTGGTAGCTTTTGGAAATGAGTCATGGTTACCCAGCTCATGGATGCAAACCATGGACATGTGTTTCACTCTGCTGAAGCTCATCAGCATGGAACAGCAACGGGGTTTTTTTTAGATAAACAGTATGTCGGCCTCTCTACTTTAGAGTTCATTGTACTGAACCCCCATCACATTGCCTCTAAAATTCCACACATCTGACCAGTCAAGGACATCTCCGACAACCTCCCATCCACAGTGAGCCTTTTCATTTGGGGTCCAAATCTGCAGTCCTAACATGGATAACACTACCACTGAAGCTAATGGGAAAGAATGAAGGACTGCAGATTCAGGCTCTTAATAAGGACAATACAGTTCACTGTACTGTCTAAGAGAACTAGTGAAAATCATTTAAGTCACAGCAAATTTGCACGTCATTTAGGACACTGGAGTCATGCCTCTTGGAGTCTGTTCCCAGATTTGTTAGAGACTTGCTGTGTGGCCATGGCCAAGTCACCTAACGTTCCTGGCTCTTAGCTGACCCATCTGTACAGTTCCTGTATTAATATGTAGCTAACTTACAGGGGGGCTAGGAGGCTTCATTCATGTTTATAAAAGCTTTGATACTTGTGTGAGTGGTGCTAGGTAAAGACCTGATCCTGAAAGCCCTCCTCATGCATTAGTCCCCCTCACTTGCGTTGGAGTTGTGTACTATCACACTTCATACCAATGTGAGATGTCCAGGTTACAGTTAGGTACACTTCTCCTTAGCAGTATCTGCAGATAGTTCTTCTAGACTGTCAAGGTGTAAATGGAAAGATCTTTGGTAACTGTTTTAACTGTGCTAGTAAAATGGCTTCGCCATGCCTGGACAGTCTACCACATTCTCTTCCTATTTTCCCAAAGGTGGAACACTGGTGAATAATGAGGACAGGACTGCTCCTTGCTTAAAATGGTTCAGATTTGAACACCTGTCCATTGTAATATTCTAATATTCCTCTTTCTCACTTAACCAACCTAAGGCAAATAATATTCGACACAATGCTTAGAAATGTAGGAATGTGGGACACCTAGGATCCCAGCACGGTTCTGTCTGCCACAGGAGATAGCAATGATACACAGACATTAAGTTCTCGATCTCATTCTGTCCACAACCGCTTTGATGAAAGAGGAAGCAAAAGAGAAAAAAAAAAGAAGCCAGCAGTTGTAACAACCACCTGCAATGACAGACTTATAGACTTCTGTTTGTCTCTGTCATTGTTCCATGTCTTACATTATTCAGCGTTCAACTGCCAAACGGATTTTTTTTTTTAAATTAAACTTTTTGGTGAGTAACCAGTTGTTTTTGAGTTTCCGATTGGCAGCATTAATCACTTCCTATTGGCTGATCCGAAGAACTTTTCCTTTCGAAATGGCACATTCATGTTCTGCGGCTTTTCTGTTTACACACATTTTGTTACCTTATGTCAACACTTGCTAATGAATAAATATATCACTCCACTAACTGAAAATGAGGTCCTGGCGAAGGTAGATTGGATGTAAACCCTGCTAATAGATTTATCCTAACGTCTTTCCAGGAAACTGAAGGCAATCATTAACACTTCTTTCCTATAGCTTTATGTTGGCTGCTATCCTCCTGAACACTTTACAAATTAGTTTATGCCCTATGCAAAAAGCCATTATTGGGGGAAATTACATATGCAAATCTAAGCATGTGAAGTTTCTATGGGACCATTCTGTTATCCATTCGAGAATTTGTCTAAATTACAACTCTCTTTCTCTAATAACAAAATTCTTTACTACTCAGTAGACTCTTTGCCTGTGTAAAGAAACAATCCTTGAAAATCAAAGCAACTACTAAATGTAAAAAGAAAAGGAGGACTTGTGGCACCTTAGAGACTAACAAACTTATTTGTGCATAAGCTTTCGTGAGCTACAGCTCACGGAAGTTTATGCTCAAATAAATGTGTTAGTCTCTAAGGTGCCACAAGTCCTCCTTTTCTTTTTGCGGATACAGACTAACACGGCTGCTACTCTGAAACCTACTAAATGTAAGTAGCACTTGTAAGGGATGTAGGATATAATCACACTGATATATCCTCATTAATTAGTGAACATTTGTCTAGTGTTCTTTAATGCTCAGGCAAAATATTATATGCTTTGTGACCCATTCATTTATTAAGCAGCTGTGCCTGTTTCCACATGGCATAGAGAAAACTCCTTATGTTAATCAGAGTTTACAGTGGAGAAAATGAACCTAGTTAAAAGGGTCCAGTACTGAAGGCACCAAGTACTTTCCTATGAGGTGCTAAGCACCTTAACTTCAATGGGAGTTGACATCACAAGAGACACTCAACATCTGGATAGGGCCCTAGGCCCATTTCCCAGTTTTCTGAAATATCCTCATAACTTGCAACCCCCCCCCCCTTTTTTTTTTTTTTAAAGAGCATTTACTGAAAGACACTTTACAATGAAAAGAGAAACCTATCAGGCAAGGGCCTCGGGGTTTTAACAGTTTTTGAACTCCGGAAACTAGCCAACTCCAACAAACTGAATAGCAGTAATTTTAGAAAATCAGCTATTTTAGAAAAACAGCTCTGAAATTGGAACAAAAACAGGAACAAAGCTATTTTAGTACTTTACTTTTAAAAAGGGAGTTTAAGTTTACATATGGGTGCTGCGTGACTTTAGGACACAACCAGAAAGATAACTGTGCTATAATCAATATTTTAGATCCATTCATCTTCAGAGAGATATGAAGGGGCTTGGTGGAGTTCTGCACCTCCCTGATTTCATCCCCACTTCCGGATTTTCACTAAACCTGTCTCCTTCCACAGTGCCAGTCCTATTTATCTAACACAGGGCGAGCTTGCTGCCAACCAGAAGTTTATGCAGACAACCGCAACAGAGCTTGGTGCCAGCCTCAAATGGGCTTCTGCCCTGGCACGGTGCCATTCAATTACAAGCAACAGGCATGAAGAGCTGTGTTAGAAACTTTTAGCTCCCCTCCATATTTTTTTAATTTGGTAATGCTTAATTACAGATGATTTTTTTTTAAAACAGAAGATTTGTACAACCACTTTTGCCAACACTTATTTGTATCAATAAAAATTAATGTTCCTAGAATCCTCTGCTGTACCTTGTACCAATCTAAGTTCATTAGAATTCAAATACAGTGAGTTGACAAGTCATGAATTTCCATTTACTACTTAGAATTGTAAACTATATTAGGAAGACTTCATACTTCTTGCAGATGTTCATTAAGCAAAGTTGGCAAAACCTACTGACTCACACTATTTTATGTGCATACCCATTCTGAGTTTTCAAGTTACTTGGTACAAGTACATCTAGAAAAGGCAACAATGTAAATGGACTACCTACAATAGTTTCTGGGTTTTAAAACTAGAGGTTTTCTTAGCCAAATTATATACTAAATCATTGGGGTGGCAAAGGGGCAAAAATCCCACAGAAACAGCCAAAAAGTGAAAGGCATAAGAAGTATAACAAAGGAAGGAGACATTCCCCCCTGAGAAAGGCATGTTTTCCCTTTTTATCTGAAGACGGTAGCCTACTTTTAAAAGGTCTACTTACCAGTTGGTTTGAGAAAATCCATTGGATATCTGGAGTAGGGTGGAGGGGGAGACTCTGGAATTAGAAAATCACAGAGAAAATAAAGGCAGAGCCATGAGAAAAAAAGATAGGAACTTATGATAACAGTGGCATTCTTTTAGCAAAACTGTTTGTCTTAGCTCTGGGGGTTGGAGGCAGGGCAGCTAGGCGGTGATTGCCTTGATATTTAGCTGTCAGATAAACAAAAGGGGCCGCCTGGCGCCAGTCTCCCTGCTATCTGCTACTCTGGCTGTCTGATCAGGGCCTCCTTGGCTCGGCTAAAACACTCCAGCACTGGAAATCACCAACTGATCCAGACTGCCAGATAATCCTTGCTAGCTGCACACACATTTAACATTTCACAGAAAAGGGAAAAAAGAAACGGCAAGAAAAAAAAAAGTCAAGTGCTGACGTTTACCTCTCTCTCTCTCTCCCCCCTCCCACAACTCTACCCACTACTCAGAACTGGATCATTTCCATTCTACACCAACTAAGCAAAGTTTACAAGTAATTGCAATGTTTAAACACGGGCAGGGGGTGGAATGCAAGTCAGGGATCGCTCCTTTAGGCCATCGGGTAGGTAACATGGGAGTTAAACGTGCCAAAAAAAAAAAAAAAAACACAACCAAACCCATTGCCATCAACAAAAGAAAATGGCATTTGAAAACTTTCCGTCTTTTTCTTTTTTTGCCACTAGCGGATCAAACGCTGTGAAACTTTTCTGAGTCTTATTTGGAAAGCGAAGTCTGCTGACTGCGGGAGAGGGAAGCATGCTTGCATCGGACAAACTGGAACCCATAAATTATGCGTTCTCTAGTTAAGGGGTGGTGGAGGATTTGTGAACCACCAACTTGCAATGTTGGGTTGCTTTGTAAATCCCAGGCTGGCTGGGAATGCTGTTAAACATCAGATCAAGGGATTCATTTTCTAAAGCAAAGCAGTCTAGATTATGACTGTTCATTGGGACCTCTCTGCAAAACATCAGCCCTACATAAGGCAAACTTATCTTCTGAACATCATTTGAAGGGTTCCAGGCACCTACACGTTTCCCTTTTTGTACACAGCCTTCTCCACAAATACAGTAGTGAACCACATCCTTGTTTTACTGCTGGTATGAATTCACACCCGGCGTTGACCGAAAGAAAACCCGCCGTGCAAGAAGAGCATTGCAGGGAAAGAGAGGCAGGCAAAAAACTGCAACCCTCACTCGGACAACACTTCCATAGGATTAAAGTACGTGGGAATGTTGCCGGAGTCAAACTGGAAGCCTCGACCATTATATGTGTCACAAACACGAACAATACAGTTGCATCCTAAGAACCAGTTTTGTGCTACCCCTCCCCGGCTTTCTGTCCATACAACCGTCTCCCCCCGCTCGCCTCCCTTACCACCCACACCAGCTCAGGAGTGTCCCACCGGGGCACATGCCTGCCCGTGCGCCTTCAGCCATACCTAGTTCACAGAGCCTGCTGAGGTGGTGGGGATTGCAGCAGACCAGCTCCGGGTGAGTTTTTCCATAAGATTCACAGCAACATAACCTCTTCACTTCCGAGCAATGCCTGAGATCCGGCCACCGGAATACTTTACACAGCAGCAAAGGGAGAGAGTACCAATGCTGACCCAGTCTGGAGTCCACCTTGCCCGGCAGGAGGAGGCAGGAGGTCCGCGCGCCCCCTTTGGACTCCACCGCTTGCAAGAGCACCTCCAGCTGTTTCTCCTTCAGCCTCTTCAGGACCGCGTGGGTCAGCGCTTTCAATTCCGCCTCCGAGCCGAGGTGAGCCTTGGTGATGATCTTCCCCGACTTGCCCATGCAGCAGCCCCGGCCGCCTCCAGCCCCATGCGCCCGGCTGTCCGCGGCTGTTTCGCCGGGCTCACCTTCCTCCTCCTCCCCGCCGCCGGGCGCACGGCTCCGCCAGAGTCGCCGGACGAGCACCGATCGTTTGGTCCTGAACATGCGGGACGAGAAGAAGGTTCCCCGGCTAAAAAACGAGCATGTCGTCCGCAAATCATGAAGAATCCGGGATCCGAGTCCAGGCAGCAAACACAAGCAGCCTGAAATGATAGGGATACAGTGGGGAGGAGGGCTGGTGGTTGCGGCAGAGCCAAAACAATCTGTAACATATGCCAGTCTCTTAAAGGGTTGGGGGGTTTCCTCTGTCTCTCTTAAATCCTTCAAAAATCGACTGAAAATCCTACAAGTTATAAATTTATATTTAGAATTTGCCACCTCTATATAAGAAATGGAAAAAATATAAACTAAAAGAGATGGGGGGGAATCAATGTTCAGTGTAAGAGAAGAATTGCAGAAAACATGCCCCCCCAAACAGACGAGGGAATAACAGATCTTCTCCCGTCGCCGGTCTGTCAAAGCGATTGCAAAACATTTAGATCACATTTGGTTTCAGACGAGGGTGGCTGTTTTAAATAAAAAAGAAAAAGAAATAATAAAGGTCTTCCCCACCCCTCCCAAAAAATTTTGTGGCAAAACCAAGGCACAAGATTTTAAAAAAACCAACCTCTATTTCCTTAGTAATAACATATCCACAGATTCCATCAAAAGAGGAGGGTTGGGGGGGAGGTTGGGAAAAAAGGAATTTCTATAACATAGGGTGGATGGATTCTTTTCAAAAAGAGCCAAAATAACGTCGCATTTTTAAAAAAAAAAACCTAAAATTTGGACGTTTGAATGAATAATCAAAATGTTTTAAAAAATAAAAATGCATCCAAGCGTGTTACATCCTTTTAAAAAAAAAAGCCCAACTCGTCCTTATGCTTTTTTTCTTTCTTCTTATCGAAAGAGTTTAATCCACACCAAAAAAAAAAAAAAATCCTCGACGCGGCTGCTCACCCAGATCTGTGTATTTTTAAAAAGTGGGGAGCCTGTGTCTTTCCTCCCGAAAGGCTTGATCCGCTCCCTCTCTGTGTGCCTGTCTTTCAGAAAGACCAGGAGGCAGGGACAGTTTAAAAAATAAAAAATAAAAAACCACAGTTGCCCCCAGCTCTCCTCCCACCCAGCCCTGACAAAATACAAGCGACGGATGGGTGAGAAGTGACAGGGGATGATCCTATAATGACAGGAGCTGAAATGATCACCAGCCCCCCCAGTCTCTCTTCTGTCTCGCGCTCTCTCTCTAGTAAATGCTAATGCAGCCTTTAGCTCCTCTTCCTTCTCTTCTGGCTGCAGCTCCCCTCCTTCGAGGCAGCCTTTCCAGTCCTTGCATCGGCTACCAGCACACGCACCAAAAGCAGCTCCTTTCGCTTGGCTCGCCTGGTTTGCTTCGCTTTTTTTTCCCCCCCCTCTCTCTCCTCCTTCCCCTCCTTTTTTCCACTCCCTTCTTCCTTCACAGGGATCTCAGTGCAGGAGAGCCTGTCTCCCCCGCGCACACCTTCTTGTTCTTCTTTCTTCCCTGCGGCGAGAGAGGGGGAGTTGCTTGTGCTTTGGAGGGGGTGGCCTGCGAAGAGGAGGGGGGGTTCCCAGTTGAGGTGGCTATTACCTAGCAGCGCCCATGGTCTCTCTGCCTCTGGGCTGCTGCCGTCCGCCAGCTCCCCTCTCCAGCCAGCAGCCTCCTCCTCCCTGCTTTGCCTCGGTGACTCGCAGTGCGCAGTATCGCTGCCCAGCCCCGGCCCCCAATCACGTGGGCGTCTAGACACCCAGTCGCTTTAAAAAAAAAAAAAAAAGTGATTGTGTTGCGCAAACAGCAGCTCGGGTTTCTAAAAGCTTCTTTCTTTCCTTTGCTTTTCTTTGCTTTTTTTAATTTCTGAAGTCTGGAGAGAGAGGAGGCGAGCGGGCCGAGGCAGTGTAGCGAATGCACCTCCCATTCAACCAAGACATCAGTGATCTTTACAAAAAAAAAAAAACCACGATCAAGGTACAGTGCCCCAAGGAAGTCATTGCTCCTGCAGGTTAACTTGGGAGGATATTTATCAGTGAGATGCTGCTGTTAGGGGTAGCCTCGTAGGCGATGCTGCTGTTAAGGGTAGGCCCATAGAATTTTTTTTTTGTGGGGGGGGTGTTGACATGGTTGGCATTCACGTTCAAAAAGAGTTTGCCGTCTCATTCTTGACGTTTGTTGTTTTTCTGAATGCTAGATTATTCCTGTTATTTGTGGCTCCTTTTTGCATTGAAGTGGGTGGCAGATTTGTTTTGAGTAGGGTGCAGGTGGAGCAGGGAGTTGGGCCCTTCATAAAGAAAATGCACCATGAATACAAGAGGTTCTTGCATAAAAGATGCATTTCAGTTGGGTAATAAATGGGGGTTTGGAAAAATACCCAGAAAAAGTCAGACCTAAATCCTGGAATCAGATTGTTCAGTGTTGATCCTTGTGACTGTCCAGAGGCCCCGTATCTGACTGCAGGATGGAGGCCTAAGACCATGGTTGTGTAAAATAAAGAACTAAATTGCAAATATTAAAAAAAAAAAATCTATGAATGAAACCAACGGTTAAAGTTAATTTGTATAGCCAAAGACATTATGTACAATGTAATAAAAAACACTTGGCACTTGCATAGCACTTGTCATCAGAGGCCAATGGTGGGTAAGTGTTATTACCCCTTTCTTAAAGGGGAGGAAAATCAGACACAGATATTAATAAAATATCATAACAACACTTTGCATTTTTAGTGCCATGCTTCAGAGGACCTTACATTTGTACTAAATTAAGCCTTTGAGCATCCCTGTGAAGTCAGCATTATTATGAAACACTGGAATGCGTTACCTAGGGAGGTGGTGGAATCTCCTTCCTTAGATATTTTTAAGGTCAGGCTTGACAAAGCCCTGGCTGGGATAATTTAGTTGGGGATTGGTCCTGCTTTGAGCAGGAGGTTGGACTAGATGACCTCCTGAGGTCCCGTCCAACCCTGATATTTTATGATTCTGTGATTCTATGCCAGTTTTGCAGAGGGGTAAACTGAGATACAGTAGTTAAGTGACTTGTATGTGTATGTGCTGTGCTTTAATCCTGAGAATGACAATCCTGCACATACTGACACAGGTAAGTAGTCCTTTGGATTTAATGGGATTATTCATATGCATAAGTGTTGTCTGAGTCCAGACCAAGACCAACAAGTTGGTTGCTTAAGGTCATACAGTAAGTCAGTTACAGAGTTGGAAATAGAACCAAGTTTTCAAAATCACATGCTCCAAACACTAGCTGCCATAAACAAACTTAATTCCAAAGTAATTGCAGTGAAATAAACAAGACAAAACCCATAAAACACAGACAGCCCAAGAGTTATTATTCTAAAAAGTCCTAGAATGTACATACTGTAGATGCACTGAATTCCTGGAATTGACTTCTCCAGGTGCTTTGGATGCACAAGGAATGCAAGATCAAATGTAGGCCCTATCCTGCAAATACACATGTCAGGACTCAATACTAACTACTCACGTGCATAAAAGTTGTTTGTGTTATTGACAGATCAAGGCCTATGGTAGTTAGAAGCCAGATCTTTAGGGCTGGCTTGCAAAATTTTAGGGAAAACATACCATCCTGGGAATAAAATCTACTCACCTATTCTTTATCCATATGATTGGTGATAATAAAAAGTATTTTATTTGCCCATTTTTTATTTGCTCAGGGTATGTGGGTGAAGAATTTATCAAGGCTGATCTAGGGCTTTATGGGGGAGGTAATGGGGGAGGTAATGGAGGCTAGACATCAGAAATTTCACCCGGAGCTCACACAGACTGTCTTTTTGTTCTGTGTTTCTACAGAGCCCAGCGGGTTCCATGACTAGGGCTCCCAGGTGCTACAGGAATACAAATAAATACATAAATGCGACTACTACTATATTCCAGGTATAAATGTAAACTTGCTTAACAACTGGGCCACTACACTCTGCAGTTTCTGAAAGATGCAGCCCCTTGGCGAGTGCATGCCAGTAATCTAACCTTAAAGTAACAAAGGATTAATGGCCAGGGCAAGGGCGACAGCTTTTCAGTTTGCTGATGCTCTAATACAGTGCAATCTTTTTTTTTTAATGATCACTTTGGAGACTTGAAAAATTGAAAATAAATTACATTTCTTTCTTTTAATATTTCTTTCACAAGCCTCAGAGGTGACCTTATTTTTTAAGGTCTCCTCTTTTTATTATAGCAATGAATAGAATCTCAAAACCTTTTCACTGTGGTAGAATCATAGAATCATAGAATATCAGGGTTGGAAGGGACCTCAGGAGGTCATCTAGTCCAACCCCCTGCTCAAAGCAGGACCAATCCCCAACTAAATCATCCCAGCCACGGCTTTGTCAAGCCTGACCTTAAAAATATCTAAGGAAGGAGATTCCACCACCTCCCTAGGTAACACATTCCAGTGCTTCACCACCCTCCTAGTTTTTTTCCTAATATCCAACCTAAACCTCCCCCATCGCAATTTGAGACCATTACTCCTCATTCTGTCATCTGCTATCACTGAGAACAGTCTAGATCCATCCTCTTTGGAACCCCCTTTCAGGTAGTTGAAAGTAGCTATCAAATCCCCCCTCATTCTTCTCTTCCGCAGACTAAACAATCCCAGTTCCCTCAGCCTCTCCTCATAAGTCATGTGTTCCAGTCCTCTAATCATTTTTGTTGCCCTCTGCTGGACTCTTTCCAATTTGTCCACATCCTTGTTGTAGTGTGGGGCCCAAAACTGGACACAGTACTCCAGATGAGGCCTCACCAATGTCGAATAGAGGGGAACGATCACATCCCTCGATCTGCTGGCAATGCCCCTACTTATACAGCCCAAAATGCCATTGGCCTTCTTGGCAACGACAGCACACTGTTGACTCAAATCCAGCTTCTTGTCCACTGTAACCCCTAGGTCCTTTTCTGCAGAACTGCTGCCTAGCCATTCAGTCCCTAGTCTGTAGCGGTGCATGGGATTCTTCTGTCCTAAGTGCAGGACTCTGCACTTGTTCTTGTTGAACCTCATCAGATTTCTTTTGGCCAAATCCTCTAATTTGTCTAGGTCCCTCTGTATCCTATCCCTACCCTCCAGCATATCTACCTCTCTTCCCAGCTTAGTGTCATCTGCAAACTTGCTGAGGGTGCAATCCACACCATCCTCCAGATCATTAATGAAGATATTGAACAAAACCAGCCTGAGGACCGACCCTAGGGGCACTCCACTTGATACCGGCTGCCAACTAGACATGGAGTCATTGATCACTACCTGTTGAGCCCGACAATCTAGCCAGATTTCTATCCACCTTATAGTCCATTCATCCAGCCCATACTTCTTTAACTTGCTGGCAAGAATACTGTGGGAGACCGTGTCAAAAGCTTTGCTAAAGTCAGGGAACAACACGTCCACTGCTTTCCCCTCATCCACAGAGGCAGTTATCTAGTCATAGAAGGCAATTAGATTAGTCAGGAATGACTTTCCCTTGGTGAATCCATGCTGACTGTTCCTGATCACTTTCCTCTCCTCGAAGTGTTTCAGAATTGATTCCTTGAGGACCTGCTCCATGATTTTTCCAGGGACTGAGGTGAGGCTGACTGGCCTGTAGTTCCCAGGATCCTCCTTCTTCCCTTTTTTAAAGGTGGGCACTACATTAGCCTTTTTTCAGTCGTCTGGGACTTCCCCCGATCGCCATGAGTTTTCAAAGATAATGGCCAATGGCTCTGCAATGACACCCGCCAACTCCTTTAGCACTCTCGGATGCAGCTCATCCGGCCCCATGAACTTGTGCTCGTCCAGCTTTTCTAAATAGTCCCGAACCACTTCTTTCTCAACAGAGGGCTGGTCACCTCCTCCCCATGCTGTGCTATCCAGTGCAGCAGTCTGGGAGCTGACCTTGTTCGTGAAGACAGAGGCAAAAAAAGCATTGAGTACGTTAGCTTTTTCCACATCCTCTGTCACTAGGTTGCCTTCCTCATTCAGTAAGGGGCCCACACTTTCCTTGACTTTCTTCTTGTTGCTAACATACCTGAAGAAACCCTTCTTGTTACTCTTAACATCTCTTGCTAGCTGCAACTCCAAGTGTGATTTGGCCTTCCTGATTTCACTCCTGCATGCCCGAGCAATATTTTTATACTCTTCCCTGGTCATTTGTCCAATCTTCCACTTCTTGTAAGCTTCTTTTCTGTGTTTAAGATCAGCAAGGATTTCACTGTTAAGCCAAGCTGGTCGCCTGCCATATTTACTATTCTTTCTACACATCAGGATGGTTTGTCCCTGTAACCTCAATAAGGGTTCTTTAAAATTCAGCCAGCTCTCCTGGACTCCTTTCCCCCTCATGTTATTCTCCCAGGGGATCCTGCCCATCAGTTCCCTGAGGGAGTCAAAGTCTGCTTTCCTGAAGTCCAGGGTCCATATTCTGCTGCTCTCCTTTCTTCCCTGTGTCAGGATCCTGAACTCAGCCATCTCATGGTCACTGCCTCCCAGGTTCCCATCCACTTTTGCTTCCCCTACTAATTCTTCCTGGTTTGTGAGCAGCAGGTCAAGAAGAGCTCTGCCCCTAGTTGGTTCCTCCAGCACTTGCACCAGGAAATTGTCCCCTACACTTTCCAAAAACTTCCTCGATTGTCTGTGCACCACTGTATTGCTCTCCCAGAAGATATCAGGGTGATTGAAGTCTCCCATGAGAACCAGGGCTTGCGTTCTAGTAACTTCCGTGAGTTGCCGGAAGAAAGCCTTGTCCACCTCATCCCTCTGGTCTGGTGGTCTATAGCAGACTCCCACCACGACATCACCCTTGTTGCTCACGCTTCTAAACTTAATCCAGAGAGTCTCAGGTTTTTCTGCAGTTTCATACTTGAGCTCTGAGCAATCATACTGCTCCCTTACATACAATGCTACTCACCCACCTTTTCTGCCCTGCCTGTCCTTCCTGAACAGTTTATATCCATCCATGAGAGTTATCCCACCAAGTGTCTGTTATTCCAATCACATCATAATTCCTTGACTGTGCCAGGACTTCCAGTTCTCCCTGCTTGTTTCCCAGGCTTCTTGCATTTGTGTTTAGGCACTTGAGATAACTCGCTGATCGTCCCTATGATAACCTGAAAAAGAGATACTTGGCCTCTCTTCTGGTGTTATTGATAGACCAGATTAGAGTAGACACACCTGTTACCACAAGCATTACACTCTTCTTTTATGTCAAAAGCTGCCCAAACTATTATAAATGAGGCGGATTCAAATAATTTGTTCACAGTGAATAAGGTGTATAATCTTTCCTTTGTAATCATCACATTTTCTATTATGACTTATGTTTGCATTATTAGTTACTTTGGTGATAATAATCCAGAGATTACTATATATACAAATCACAGTGACAAGAATAGTAACTAGCAATATGCCATGCCAGGACAGTGTGGTCTGATGGACAGAGCACAAGACTGGAACTCAGGTGACTTGGGTACTTCTTCCGGCTCTGCTACTGATTCACTATGTGACCTAGGACAAATCATTTTGCTGCTAGCTTCAGTAGGAACCTCAACTTTTCTGTATCTCAATTTCCCCATCTGTGAAATGGGGATACAAATATTTGTCCTCCTTTATAAAGTACCTTGAGCTCTGCAGGTGAAAATTATTCTACTATTTGGAACAAATTGACCATTTAATTATCCCTGTATAGCTTAATTAAATGTCACAAAGAAAAATTTTAAATCCATAACCTGTTAAAATTTGCAAATATTCTGTGTTTTTTAACTTAATTTTCTCACTATTTATCTTAAAAACAGCATTCCCCCTCCCCCCTATATTATACCTCTTCCAATCATTAGTTCTATGTTTTATTTTTCTTGAAACCTAGATTTATGAGTCCTTATGGAAGTGGACACGTGTCTAAAATGGAAGGAATAAAAAAAGTATGTGTTCTCTTTTTTTGGAATGGTTACTGTATGAAATCTGATTTGTTAGGCCAAACCAGTTTATTTAAATCACACGAATAGGCCCATGAAAGCCACAGTATATGTTAATATCGACTATGCCCAGGTTTTATTGTATTTGTTCATTGGCAAGTAGATGTGAACCAAATATCTCCTCTTCTGCAAGATGGGTAATCAGGAAGCAAGAAAACACATGTTGAAATACAGGGGAAATGACAAGTGTCATTCAGATAATGGTAGTAGTGGGGGTCATTAGTCTGTCTGCTCAATTTACTCTTGGGAGTGGCCCCATCATGTGAAACTCAGTTGTGATGACAGGTTTCAGAGTAACAGCCGTGTTAGTCTGTATTCGCAAAAAGAAAAGGAGTACTTGTGGCACCTTAGAGACTAACCAATTTATTTGAGCATGAGCTTTCGTGAGCCCACGAAAGCTCATGCTCAAATAAATTGGTTAGTCTCTAAGGTGCCACAAGTACTCCTTTTCTTTTTTCAGTTGTGATGTAACACCAGGGAATGAGATAAATTTATCCCATGGACTTTAAAGGGCCTGTTTGTCTGAATTAAATAAACTGGGTTTGGCCTAACAAACAGACAAAAATTTCTCAACTATGTAATCGTAGGTGAGTTTTAATCTGCTGTCCCAACTTGATTTTTTTTTTAACAAGAGGAAGAAAAAGTCATTTGAACATATGAATTAAATCCATCATCAAGAATAGGGATACATACATTTGATAATGCAAGTGAAATCAAATACAATTAAAAACTGTACCCTTTTTTCCAGACACCATTCATCTGGAGGTTTCTGAAGACCTTTCTGTTACCCAATTGTCTTTGAAAAGTTAAAGGTGAGTGATAAACTGGAGTTAATTTGCATTGCAATTCAGCATTTGACAGACAGTTGGAGCCAGGGCACTATTAACCTAATTACTTTTCTAACAGCACCAGGGTGTGAGACGCAGCAAAGACACACACACAAAAGATAAAATGAGGAAGTAAAATCTTTTCCTGACATCATTACCAGACATATACAAAGATGATCCCTCTTCATGCACTTTCTGGGCTAGGATTGGATCGATAACAAATATGTGTTATTTTTTCTCTTTTGGGAATAGCTCTTGGTGATAATATTTACAAATAATTAACAATATTTAGGCAGGAACAAGTCTGTCTGATGAGAGGACAGCAAGAAGGAAAATGATGGAGATTTCATGTACTCTAGTGGCACTCCATGCAGATTAACAGTAGTTAAGCTTGTGTCCTTTGCTACTGTTATAAACTTTTATTTTCAGGAGCTTGCAAGCAAGGTTCAGAGTGAACTTGGGTGGGCTAGAATGCCATTTTTGGCACTTTTCTGTTTACTCCTCAGTCTTTGAAGCTCTCATTTAAATAGCAAATAGACCTTATGGCTGCAAAGAAAACTTCTGAATGTGACTTGATGCAAAGTTGTCTTCCTTAGGCTGCAAGAAAGACAAACAATAGGTATAAGAGAAGTTTCAGAGTAGCAGCCTTGTTAGTCTGTATTTGCAAAAAGAAAAGGAGGACTTGAGACACCTTAGAGACTAACAAATTTATTTGAGCATAAGCTTTCGTGAGCTACAGCTCACTTCATCGGATTCCACTGAATGCATCCGATGAAGTGAGCTGTAGCTCATGAAAGCTTATGCTCAAATAAATTTGTTGGTCTCTAAGGTGCCACAAGTACTCCTTTTCTTTTTATAAGAGAAGTGTGAACCTGCCCTCACTGGGTGTTAAATCTGTAGGCTAATATGATAATTTAAATGTTGATGCTGGAAACTAGTTGGGGGCTTTGCATTTTGAGCTAAAGTACTTATCCAGTGTGATTGGACACCACAGAAGTTAGAGATGGAAAAGGCCTATTAGGACACTTTATCCATCCACTCAGACAAATACAAACCTATCCCATACAGCACATTTGCCAGTATTTTGTCCAGTCTAGCTGCAATTGGCCCAAGTGACAGTTTCACTTGTGAGACTATTCTACATCGTGCTATACCTCATCGTGCTATACCTCATACCACCTGGGATATTTTTTTCTGATTGCTCCCCCCTGCTCCTCCTGGCCAGGGTAAATTTTCCTTTCCTTAATTTAATCTCATTGATTCTAATTTTACCCTAGAGCTCCTAGCCTCCAATCCAGCACAGCATTTAAGCATATGTTTAAAGTCAAACACATGCTTAAGTCCCTTAGGGACCTTCTTCAGGTTTGTCTACACAGTTTTTGTACTGCTTTCACTAAATCAGTGTAGAACCAGATAAATGGTTAAAGCAGTACAGTCCCCCAGTGTGGATACAGGTAGATGGGTATAAAAGTACTTATATCTATACAGCTATTCACCTTAATGTGCTTAATTTAAATCTACGGGAGTTAGCCATACCAATATAAGTACCTTTATACTGGTATAGCTGTGCACACAACTAGGAGGTTGTACTAAACACAAAAACTGTGTGTAGGCCAGCAGCACAGCTAAGGGACAGAGAAGGCATGAGCTATTCACCAAGGGAAAGAGAAAGAGCTCGTGCAGCAACAGCCTCCATGGCAAAAGCAGAATGGGAGAGCCTGCCCAAAGCAGAATGAAGAGAGTTCCACCACCCTTTTATTCCCAACGTTGATCCCTGCTTACAAGGTAAAGGACAACTGTATTTAGTAGAGAGCCTTTCATGCAAAATGTATTCCAAAACACTTACAAAAATTAAATAGCAAATGATAGCACGGAGAGAGAGAAATGAAGAGGGACAGACAGAAGAGAGAGTTGATGTGCTGATACCAGAGAGGACTGATAGAAGAATAGATATTTGCAGTGTTGTTGTAGCCGTGTTGGTCCCAAGATATTAGAGACAAGGTGGGTGAAGTAACGTCTTTTATTGGGCCAACTTCTGTTGATAAACCTGAAGAAGAACTCTGTGTAAGCTTGAAATATTCTCTCTTTCACCAACAGAAGTTGGTCCAATAAAAGATATTATCTCTGATAAATAGATAGTCTAAATTCTTCCCTCATGTACATCAACTGGAATGCAACTTCAGAGAAGAATTTTGCTCCATACCCGTTTTCAGATTAGATGGGTAGTCACTGATGCAGAGATACACCAGAGGGTAGTTCCAGGTGACAGGTGCTGCTCTTGTACCAACAATGGCAAGAAGAGATAGAGAAAAGGCCAGGTCTAGATGAGTGGAGGAGGTTGGGAAAGGTGCAAAGAAAGAGAGAGAGAGAGAAGTTTCTAGATGGATATTGATAGACTGGAGAGGGTTCAGAGAAGAGCCACAAGAACAATTGCCTTGTGGTGCTAGACTCAAGGAGCTCAAACAATCTGGTTAGTTTAACAAAAAGAAGGGTAAAGGATGACTTGATCACAATCTGTAAATCCCTACAAAAGGAACAGAAATTTGAAAATGTGCTCTTTAGTCTATTGGACAAAGGTAGAACAATATTCAGTGGTTGGAAGTTGAAGCTTGACAAATTCAGAGCTTGTCTACACTTATGCCTGGGCTACACTACACAGTTAGGTCAACGTAAGCTGCCTTGTGTCAACCTAGCTCTGGAAGAGTCTTCATTTAAATTTGGCTTCGGCCAATGTAAGTGCCTCTCTACGACGATTTAGTAACACCATCTCCCCGAGCAGCATAAAGTCAAGGTCAACGTAATTAAGTCAACTCAGTGTCAGTGTAGAAGCTGCTGTGCTTACACTGACTGTTACTGGCTTTCAGAAGCCATCCCACAATTCCTCATGCTGACAATACAGTCGATACAAGGGCTCCTGGTGAGGACACGCTCCGCTGACAGAAGAAGCCAAGTGTGCACACACACGTGTGATTTCATATCTGCGGTGGCTATATGCCAACGTAAGTTAGGTCGACATAATTTTGTAGTGCAGAAGATATGGTCTTACAGCGCTGCAGCTGTATCCACTCAGCTGAGCTGCTCTAGCAGTTAGTGAAGATGCTATCTATGCTGATGGGAGGGCTTTGGCCATTGGTGTAGATACTCCACCTTCCGGAGAGGAGGTAGCTATGTTGACGGGAGAAAGCCTGCCATCGACATAACACTGTCTACACCAGGAGTTAGGTCAGTATAACTACATCGCTCAGGAAAATCCACACCCCTGAGCAATGTAGTTATACTGTCATAAGTTGGTATTGCAGAACAAGCCTCAGCCTGGAAATAAAGCGCAAACTTTTAACAGAGCGTAATTCATCATTGGAACAACTTGCACAGGGATGTGGTGGATTCTCCACCACAGGTAATTTTTAAATCAAGATTGTCTGTTTTTCTAAAACATATACTGTAGTTTAAACAGGAATTAATTCAAGGAAGTCCTATGACTTCTGTTATATAGGAGGTCGGACAATGATCACAGTGGTTCCTTCTGGCCTCATCATCTCTGAATATCTATTATGTAGCCTGGGGCATGGAGGGTTTTAATAACAAGGAGGACATTTTTATAGTGATCCTGACCTAAATGAGGAGCCAGTGGAATTATCTCAAGATGGGATGATATGATTATATTTCTTTGTTCATTTGAATAGGAGGACTGAAGTCATCAAGGGATATTGTCTTTCGGTTTTTACACAGACCTCCTGATCTATCTGTGACACTACTGCATCTTCTCCCTGCCCATATTACTCACACAGCACTAACAAGCAATCTGTGCTGGCATCCCTGTGGAGGCCATATTCAGCCCTGGAGGAAGCAAGCACATCTCACCTTGAATTTGGCCCATGGTGTCTATGGAGCTGGAGATTAGGAAGGTCAAAGAAAAGGGATTTAGGTTAATCAGGTTGAGAAACAACAACAGCGCAGAAGAGGATTTCAGCAGAGGCAGAATCGAGGGAGTGGGGCACACAGACGATATTGTGGGAGATGGTGGTAGGTAGATTGGGAGGCAGAAGATGAGGGAGAAGAAAGAGTTTAAAGTCAAGTACAAAGAAGAGAATCAGAAAATGGAGGCAAATGGAAGATCTGATTCAGAGTAAAAAAAGAGTGTGATCCCTTTTGCTGGACCAAGAAACATGTTATAATCTGTACAATTTCAGGTTCCTTCTTGAGGGGAGCCAACCCAGAGATGGCTGCATTTCTGAATGTGTATGTATATAGTTTGTGAGGCTCTGTGCAAGCCTCTAGGATGGAAGGTGCTATTTAAATGTATAGTATGTATTCTTAATGGAAAAGAATTATACACTGGCATTTTTGGTGCAATAATGGTGTCACATTATCTACCCTGCACATTTTATTATTACATTCACTATATTTCAGACCTTATAATCAGTCCATAAATGTATGTTTTCAAGCTGCTCTTGTTGTGAGAGCTTGCAACAAGAGAGATTTTAAGTGAACAGAAAATTTAAAAATTCTGTGGGCATTTTTTAAGCTACACAAGTTTGAAAAACATAGAGGGTTCTCATTTTCAGAATTATTTTTACAATTGTGTAAGTCAAAACCATTTAAAAAAATTATTACATTTGCCAAGTGCCCTTTCTACGTTTTCTAACTAGTAGTCATATTTTGGAAAATTCTGGGCCAGATCCAGTCTTCGGGTAATGTGTATATCTGAAAACTCTGCCATTTTGGACATCAAAATTTGCCAGTGTCATACCCCTCTGCTTATTCACCCAAAACGTCTAGCGTCAAGGATAAGGCTTAGAAGTGGAGGAATGTGATCTTTCTGTTCTCACACAAACCCCCTGATCTGTCTGTGGTCCCAAAGCACCTTCTCCCTGTTCATATGACTTACACAGCACTGACAGAAGTACCTTGTGCTCGCAGCACCATGGAGATTGGGCAGGATGCTCCAGGAGAAGTCAGAATACAGACCCAACATGAATGCTGCCTTTTGGAAACTAGACCTCCTAGTATGAAACATCATGCTGCAACACCTATGCCCAAAGGGACAAGTACAGGGTGGAGTGTCAATGAAGTAAGTACAGTGCTTCAGTCATAAGCCTTGCTGGCTAATCTCAAGATTTTTGGCATGAGTCTCAGGCTTTCGGGGGATTTCTTAGCTCCTTAGGTAGGGCTCCAAAATCTCAGGACCTTAAATGGCAGCACAGCACTGAGTGATGCTGGATGGAGGAGCTGAGAGATGGAGCACATTCAAGTTGCCCAGAAAGAAGAGAGTTACTCTGTTCCACCACTGTCTGGTGGAGATTTCAATTTCCTTGTTAAAAATGACTTTGGCATTCCGCCCCACCCCACCCCCACTGGCAGAGAGAAACAACTGGAGAGGGGATGGGAGAATGTCATGCAGGCAAGAGGAAAATCTCAGTCTTCTCCATTTCCTATTGTTGGCAGGTATGGTTATAGCTTTGGAGTTCCTTCCTTTTAACACTATAGGTCATAACCTTAACATTATTTACATGTCTTTCGTATATTTATTGCAGTGGCATAGCCAGATGTATTATGGAGCGCATTTCTCTTCCTCTGAAACACAAAGCATTAGTCATTGTTGGACGTGAGATATCGAACTAGGAGTCTGACCGCAGTCCTTTCTCAGGCAAAATTCCCACTGACTGGGGAGTTTAGCCTGAGTAAAGATGGCGGGATCAAGTGCTGTATGGACTGCTTGTCTGTTCCCCTAAAAGAATTCCTATGTTAGTGTAGGACTGCCCAGCATCACCACTGCTATCTCCTAATCTGACTCAGAAAGTTCCTCTACACCAGGGGTTCTCAAACTGGGGGTCAGCGGGGCTGACAGCTGGAGCCGCAGTTAAATTAAATTAAAATTAAATTAAATGATAAATCCCGATTTTTAATTTATAAGGGGGGTCACACACAGAGGCTTGCTGTGTGAAAGGGCTCACCAGTACAAAAAGTTTGAGAACCACTGCGACTGAAATTTGGCATGTGAGATCTGATGCCAGGAGCATGCTTTTTAATCAATTAAAATTAAACATGTAAAACGTTTAACTTATAGTAACGCAAATAATTTTTTTTTAAATCACACCTGAATTTCTTGTCCTCAAGTAATTACAAATTACTTTTGAGTTTAAAATAAAAAAAAAATTGTTGAACATTTATCCATATTGCCTAGGCCTGAACATTATCACACCCCCTAGCTGACCAGCAAAAATGCCTGGTGTAGGCCTGGTATGATTTTGACAAACAAAATTCTGCCCATCACAGTAATTAATTTTCACCAGTTTTTCGTGGGTTGTGGTTGTTGTTTTGGGGTGGTTTTTTTGCAGGTGTATTCATCCATAATGTACTAAAGAGGCATAGACAGGTCTCATTTGTCCTACATGTAGGTTTTACAAACCCTAAGTCCAATAGAAATGTTTCCAGGAAAAGCTTCCAGGTAGCTTAATTATGATGAAAATAGCCCACTTGGAATTTAACAGTCCCACAATATTTGAGTGGAAAATATCCCATGAGAATTTGACAGTGAAATTGACAGAAAATTCATTTACAGTTTATGAGTATATGAGCAGCACTTTACCGATATGGGAATACCCTACACCAGCGTTTCTCAACCCTCAGCCTAATCACCTCACAGCTGCAACCCATGTGACATCCTCAGGGCCATACAGATAGTATATATATTGCGGTGGACGCAGCCCACATAACAAATAGAGAGCTGAATATGCGGCCCACAATGGTAGATAGGTTGAGAACCACTGCCATATACTATACCAGTAAAATGATCTTAATGTGGACAGAATTATACCAGGAGAACTGTGCTTTGTTTCAGTGTAACAACTTCCCCCAATGAGAGAAGCAAGCTATTCCACAACTTTGCCAGTATAGCTGCATCTATAACAGGGACTTCTGTCCACGCAGCTATGCCAGCAGACCTCTGTGATGTAGACAACATAGTATCAGAAATCTCCACTGATTGAAGCTTAAATCAACTGGAGTTTTAGGTGGACAAGAAATGCCAGACCGGGTCCTGTAAACAAACATGATGTAAGGGGACTGTTGCCCCCTTACTAACATTCAGTGGGGGTGTTTTGGTTGGCTATCTCCCAGTACTAAAAGGGGGAAGGGTCAATGGGAAATCAGGACCCTGAGAATGACAGTCCCCAGGAACAATGGGGAGAGGCCAATGCTCCAGGTCAGCCTGAATGACAGGGCAGGCAGGCTAATCAGGGAGTCAGGAGGCCAGGGGGGTCCTGTCCACCGTGTGACCTGGAATTGCCTAGGGCAGACAGAAGGGGGCAGAGCTAAGGATAAAGCAGGGGCCAAAGCTGAGCTGGGGAGCAGAGCCGTGCCAGATCCAGTGGGACCAGAGAAGGAGCCCAGGAAGCAAGTCACAGTTGGGAGCAGTCACAGAAGCAGCCCAGGGAGAGCAGATCCTGTGTTGGGAGAAGAGCTTCAGCCACAGAGCCAGGTGTGGTGAGCAACTGGGGCCAACCAAGGGGGGACCCTGGGTGAAGAACCCAGCGCAGAAAGACACCCCCAGCCAAGCGTCCTTGCAGGCCAGACTGGGAGAGGGATCTTAACCCGACAGGGGGCTGGGAAGAAGGGTCCCACAACCCAAAGCTCAAAGGTGTATGGCCACCCCCATTGCAAGTGTCCAACCCGCAGCAGCCCTGCAGCACAGCCAGGGCCTGAGAAGGAGACCTGGGACCTACAAGGAACAGACTATGAAGTGCCCTGACGTCCAGAGACACCGTGTAATGTTCCCTGCCACAAAGCAGGGTGATGTGTTTTCCTTTAACCTTTCACATTTTTCCTTATTCTTTTTTAAAATTAACTGTTAATTAAACAACTTGTATTTGCTTTAAATTGTATGAAATGATCAGTGGGTCAAGGAACTGCCCAGTGCAGAGAGAGTACCCTGGAGTGGGGACACCCTAGCCCCTGTCCTAGGTGACCACAGGAGGGTTGGGGGTCGAGCCCCCCAGGAATCCTGGGCTCAGCCTTGTCGAGGTTGCAAGGACTCTGCCAGACAGGAGAGTGGAAGGGGAGTCCTCAAGGGCAAGGGAGGCCTCTGGGTAAAGGAAGTGGGAGTGAGGACTCAGATCCTTTTGCTAGCCCACTTAACCGGGGTAGTGCAGAAGCCAGGAAAGTTCCTCACAATAGCGGGACCATTCCCCGCTTACAATGAAACTGACTATCCTGTTTCTATTATCCAACTTGCAAAAATTAAATAAAATGCATAACTAGTAAAAAGGAAATTAAAGATGGGCTCTTTCATAAGCACTTAGTGTTGGCCTAACTCACATACACAGTACATATCTGGAGAAAGCCATGCATTATGATTTGAATGATTAATGCATAGAGGGGCCAATCTTGCTGTCCTTACTTAAGAGAAAATGGAAATATTCCGTAAATATGGACTGCAGGATTAGATTCATAATGTCTCTATTTTATTAATGATTTTTTCACCATGGGCATGATTTCAGGTCCAAAGAGACCCTGAGCCCCAAAGTATATCACATACACATTTTCTACCTTTTTTCCTTACTTGTTGTGTTGTTGATATAATTAAAGAACATGTAATTAAACCAAAAACAAAATTACATCCATCCACATATTCAAACAAAAGGCCGAAGGGAAACTGCTCTGTAAGTAGACTTTATTATAGACGCCACATCTAACTTCCAAGAAAAAAAATCACTTTAAAAATTAAAATCCATCAAATATAAATACATAAATACATCAGAAGCTGCCACTTTGATTCTCTAGTGATGGAAATTAAAGGTGAACTGCAAAGCTGAAAAAAAATTATACATTATGCCAAGAACGCTTTAAAAAAAAACATAAAGACATTTATAGTCATTGTTTAAAAATGTAATTAACACTGTATTTAAAGAAACAGTGAGACAATTACCACCTATTCAAGATCTTACGAAATCTGAGCTGCAGAATTCCTGCCAAACTGAATGATATCACAGGCACCATAGACAGATGTTTAAAAGAACCATTCCATTCAAAACTTCAACCCTTATTGTCATGACGTGCTAAGTATTTATTATTTATTATCATTATTATTTTATTATAATCATCACTTCTTTTGTTTATGGTACTTGTGATGTGCTGGGAAGTCTGCAGCTTAGATATCATTGGGCTCAACTCTGCAAAATGCTTTGGGGCTACATGGCACCTCACAGGATCAAAATCAGAGAGGTAATTTTGTTCGAACGCAGCTCTAATGACATTCTGTTGAAGCAACAGTCACAGACCATTTTTCCTCTTGGAATTTTAACAAGTTCTTAACTTGTAGCAAACTCTTCATCTGTTCACCTTTAAAAACACAGCAAACGCTGTGTCCCACTGGAACCCATGAGAAAGGCACAGACTATTAAAATTGTAACGGCATTTTAAAAAAAGCAGTTAATATACATTTTTTAAAAATGGAACTTAAGTTGTGCGCCTGTGTTTCAAATTCCTAGGAGCGTATGGATGCATGAAACTATGCAAATTAAAATGCATGCTTCGTTTATGTGAACAATTACACAAATAGGATATTTGGTCTGTCCATATGGCCAGTTATATGTCCACCTGGCCCTTTGTGCTTGCAAGTACTTAATTTTCACATGCTGCTGCAATAACTGAACCCATAAATCAGGTATGCAATAGAATATACATATATCATGTCTACACAGGTGCTTATTGGTGTGTCAGGCACCCCATTATTTGGTGGGGGAGGGAAGGAATTTGGCTACCTGTTTATTTTCTGCACATATATTTCCAGTGGATCATCAAGTTTTTTGAAGATTCTAATGTTGTTCTAATAAGGACTAGTTAAAGAATGACACAATACCACCACCCCCACCACAGTAACAAACAAACAAACAAACAGGAAAACTCTGGCAGACTAGTAAAGCAATGGGTTCTTAATATGCATGTTGGCCATTGTTTTTTACTTAAAGGCTAGACTAGGAGGCCCATTCCGGAGCCTTGGAAGCTGGTGAAGACGCCAGTATTTTCTATACAGCAGGACCATTTTAAGTGCTAGCTCTGCAGGCAGAACTCTGCTGACAAGATCCCCCAAGGATTTCAGCTTAGTGATTGCTTGGATGTAGCCTTGTTTATGCCAGCAGGGCTGGGAAGTGGCACCATCACTTCTGAGCATCTTTCAAGAGCCCAAAGGTGAAATATTTGGTCAGATCACATTGCAACACGTACAATGGAGCTTGCCTACCAGTCACTGCTGCCCCGCTCCATGTGACAGCTGACACCGGTCAGTCCAATTTCAGCCTGAACAGGGCGCGTACACAAAAAGAATCAGGTGTTTTGGAAATAAACTGCTGCCCACTCTTTTGGAAGTTAAGAGCACCCTTTTTTGGCAGAAGAACTAACAGCAGCTTCTTCCCCACGCACCCCCGCACCCCCCAACACACACAGTGATTTTACTTGTAAAAATTCCTGGGAGGGTGTGAGAAGCTAAACAAAGCCTTATAGTAGCAGGGTGGTTTAAACAGCATGTTCTCAGAATTTTATAATGGTCCCAAAGCATCAGAGTGTTCAGATCTAATGGTCTGGTTCAGATCCATGTAACAGAAATGGGCCCAAGTCTGAGAATTTGGATCTGGGTATGAAGTTACCCAAAGTTCCAGGAGAGTCTGAAACTGGCACTACAATTCAGTTCCATCTTATAAAGTAAAATCAATTGGACATGGATATATTTTTCTTTCCAATGTTGATGATGTTTGGGTTCGGGGGACCAGTTGGGGAACATTTCTAATATTGATCAAACAAGGCTAGAAACTACAGAAAAATGTATATGAAGGAAAAGGGACGTATGTGTGTATGTGAAAACATGCCTTGACTGGCGTAAAGCTGTGTGTGGCTGTGTGTTGACTGGTGTGTGTGTGTGTATCCCAAAGAAAGACAAACAGTGTTTGTGCATTCCCAGGCTGGCGTGTTTATTCCCAGGCTGATGTGTAGGTGTGTGTGATTGCACATTTCTTGGTTGGCATGTGTGTCTGTACACCTCCCATCTGGAGAGAGTGTTTGTGAGAGCATATGCCCTGGCTGGGATGAGTATGTGT